ACTAAGCAGGAGCGCTGCTGGTGGTCAAGAATTAGCGGGAACACTGCTTGGGGTCGGTGATGGACAGAGGCGCTTGTGTTCATTGCATCATGCACGCTTTCACAAAGATCGTTTGTTTTTGTTTTCCCCAACAGAACGCGTTTTCCTGTCTGTGTAACAATGCGCACATTCCACACCTAAGCGCTGAGTCACACCCTGCAGCCATTTTGCCACCGCGGATGATCTGTGGCCCCCTGGGGCAATGATGAACTTCCTGTAATTGTCCCCACACGGAGCTCGTTCGGGCGACTGACCGGGCTCCGGTCGGCAGGCGGACGTCAAGCCGCCCTTCTCGTACGCCCAGTGATCGTGCAGGCGGTGACGTCATCACGGATCGCAGATTGTCGCTGAGCGGCATCTACTCGTTCATCACGCGCACCTACCCGTACTACCGCACCGCCGACAAGGGCTGGCAGGTGGGCGAGGGCAGCGGCGCCGAGCCGTGGCGCGGGCGGTCCACGGGCTCTGGACACCCGTTTGGATTCAGGTGCCGTGGTGCCACCTCAGAAGGATGACGTTCGGTTCTGTTTAAGGCAGTTGACTACTGCCCCCCCCCCCCTTCCTCGACTGCTTTTACTTGGTTTTAAGCCTTTTGCGGTGGGGCAGAGTGCAGCACGCTGGTGAAGGACTGGTTTCTGCTTGCCAACAGCTCAATTCAGCCTATAGCAATTACAGGGCTATCCTTGCTAATTGTTATGACAAACAAAACCATAGACTAAGTATATCTCTTGAGTTCATCAGGAAGGATGCAATGAAACCCGTCCATAAGAATACTGTCTCGACCGGTTTTCCACACAATTTCCCGTCGCGTACTGTGGAGTTCAGTCTATCTTTGCATGTTTTATTCGTCAACGATGTTGTAAACTATCCTGTACTGTCTTTGGCCAGGATCCTCCAAGCAGGGATCCTCCTTCAGCAGAACTCGGTGGTGAATTAACCGGGCTCTCCCGTTGCGCAGAACTCGATCCGGCACAACCTGTCGCTGAATCGCTACTTCGTCAAGGTGCCACGCAGCAGGAGGACCGGGCAAGGGCAGCTTCTGGCGCATCGAGCCGCTCTCGGAGGCCAAGCTGGCCGAGCAGGCCTTCCGGCGGCGGCGGCAGCGTGGCGTGCACAGCGTCGGCACCAGGTCTCCCGGACCGTGAGTGAGGCCGGCTGCCATGGCGCAGTGGTGTGCTCGCCGCGGTCGGCCCGCCGCGCCAAAACAGCACAGTTGTCTCGATGGGTGAGGTCTAATTGTGTTTGGCAGACGGCGTGACCGTGCGGCTCGCCGCCGTCAAGTTTGTGTGTCTTTGGCGTTAGCCTGAAGGCAGTGAGACAGACATTAGTCCGAGACGCCGCCGTGGGATTCATGTGTTACCGTGCCATGGGTTTCGTGCGAAGGTCAGCGAACCAGAACAATGGGCCCAAGAACGTACTCTAATCTCCATGTCTTGCGCTCACACGCCCCACGTAAGGTTGGCCACGATCCCTTGCTACAGTTTCGACGGCAGGGTGTTGATTAGGCACTGCTTTTCGAAATCCCGACACTCTCCGGCTTCTCAACGATTGCTGGTGCAACCGTGCGTCGCACAAACTCGTGTGTCCACATGAACTGACAACGATTACGTCGACCGACACTGAAATTTGATTCGCAGCTCCACGCACTCTAGCTGCCGCGATTGCGGTATTAAACGTAAAAAGTTAAATACCGGCCAACTCTATCTTGGCCGCCTCTGCGTACGTGACGCTTGATATGTGCGACGGCAAGTTAGCCCCATGCCATTCCCCGCTCAGTGGTGTACCTAAACGTATCAGTCTCTCGTCTCATCGACCCCGGGCCGTCAAGATGTGGCCGCGGTTTTAAAACGGCTGCTCTCCGGCTTTGTCGTCGGGTCATATTTTTGGGCCGCCCGTACGAAGCCAGTGGGCCAAAACGGCCCTTCGGCCACGTGCCACGCCCGAACCCCGGACCCCAGCGGCCCGCGATCTACCCGTGGAAAACCTCGTGCGCCGGCGCGCGGGTCCAAATTTCACTGTTCAGCGGCCCGCCGTTCAGCCTGTGGACAATGCTACTCAAAACGGGATAGACAGACAGACAGACACCGTCTAGGCAAATACCGTACAGATTCCTGAACCTCATTAGGAGGGTGTTGTGCTCAAACCTCAGACTGTCGCGAATTAACCCTGCAGGAGGTGACCAGAATAAGGTTGAAAAAGGCTCCATAGCGTGCATTAAACCACGAGTGTCACGTTTCAATTCGCGGCGCCCGGTCGGTGGAGCCGTCCGTCTCTAGCGATGATCAGTGAGTCACGCATTCTTTCCGGCAGCCAGTGTGACGTCATTGATGCCAGCCGGTGACGTTTCGCTCTCGCCGTGCGACATCACATTCCTACCGGAGACCTGAGAGAGGTGAGGTGTCACGTGGCGAGAGCGCTACCGGAGACCTGAGAGAGGTGAGGTGTCACGTGGCGAGAGCGCTACCGGAGACCTGAGAGAGGTGAGGTGTCACGTGGCGAGAGCGCTACCGGAGACCTGAGAGAGGTGAGGTGTCACGTGGCGAAGCGCCACCGGAGACCTGAGAGAGGTGAGGTGTCACGTGGCGAGAGCGCTAACCGGAGACCTGAGAGAGGTGAGGTGTCACGTGGCGAGAGCGCTACCGGAGACCTGAGAGAGGTGAGGTGTCACGTGGCGAGAGCGCTACGGAGACCTGAGAGAGGTGAGGTGTCACGTGGCGAAGCGCACCGGAGACCTGAGAGAGGTGAGGTGTCACGTGGCGAGAGCGCTACCGGAGACCTGAGAGAGGTGAGGTGTCACGTGGCGAGAGCGCTACCGGAGACCTGAGAGAGGTGAGGTGTCACGTGGCGAGAGCGCTACCGGAGACCTGAGAGAGGTGAGGTGTCACGTGGCGAGAGCGCTACCGGAGACCTGAGAGAGGTGAGAGGTGAGGGTCACGTGGCGAAGCGCCACCGGAGACCTGAGAGAGGTGAGGTGTCACGTGGCGAGAGCGCTACCGGAGACCTGAGAGAGGTGAGGTGTCACGTGGCGAGAGCGCTACCGGAGACCTGAGAGAGGTGAGGTGTCACGTGGCGAGAGCGCTACCGGAGACCTGAGAGAGGTGAGGTGTCACGTGGCGAAGCGCACCGGAGACCTGAGAGAGGTGAGGTCACGTGGCGAGAGCGCTACCGGAGACCTGAGAGAGGTGAGGTGTCACGTGGCGAAGCGCCACCGGAGACCTGAGAGAGGTGAGGTGTCACGTGGCGAGAGCGCTACCGGAGACCTGAGAGAGGTGAGGTGTCACGTGGCGAAGCGCCACCGAGACCTGAGAGAGGTGAGGTGTCACGTGGCGAGAGCGCTACCGGAGACCTGAGAGAGGTGAGGTGTCACGTGGCGAGAGCGCTACCGGAGACCTGAGAGAGGTGAGGTGTCACGTGGCGAGAGCGCTACCGGAGACCTGAGAGAGGTGAGGTGTCACGTGGCGAAGCGCCACCGGAGACCTGAGAGAGGGAGGTGTCACGTGGCGAGAGCGCTACCGGAGACCTGAGAGAGGTGAGGTGTCACGTGGCGAAGCGCCACCGGAGACCTGAGAGGTGAGGTGTCACGTGGCGAGAGCGCTCCGGAGACCTGAGAGAGGTGAGGTGTCACGTGGCGAGAGCGCTACCGGAGACCTGAGAGAGGTGAGGTGTCACGTGGCGAGAGCGCTACCGGAGACCTGAGAGAGGTGAGGTGTCACGTGGCGAAGCGCCACCGGAGACCTGAGAGAGGTGAGGTGTCACGTGGCGAGAGCGCTACCGGAGACCTGAGAGAGGTGAGGTGCACGTGGCGAAGCGCCACCGGAGACCTGAGAGAGGTGAGGTGTCACGTGGCGAGAGCGCTACGGAGACCTGAGAGAGGTGAGGTGTCACGTGGCGAGAGCGCTACCGGAGACCTGAGAGAGGTGAGGTGTCACGTGGCGAAGCGCCACCGGAGACCTGAGAGAGGTGAGGTGTCACGTGGCGAGAGCGCTACCGGAGACCTGAGAGAGGTGAGGTGTCACGTGGCGAGAGCGCTACCGGAGACCTGAGAGAGGTGAGGTGTCACGTGGCGAGAGCGCTACCGGAGACCTGAGAGAGGTGAGGTGTCACGTGGCGAGAGCGCTACGGAGAGTCCTCGTCTAAATCCTGTGCTGACTTGTGAAGGGCTATATGTATTAATATTTATGTGGTCACCTTTGTCCGATTGTCTACTTCAGTGCCTTGATGGCGTCTGAATTCCGGTACGGTCGGATTTCGGCATCTACATATGCCACAATGATGAAGTGACATTTTATCGAACGTGCCCTCTGGGGCAGCAGCACCTCAGTTGGCGCTCTGGCTCCCGCAGGGCGCGGTCAGCCGGACCCGCCGCCAGCGCACCGGAGCTGACGTGCCCCGCCGGCGGGTACCTGCGCGAGCCGGCGGTGCTGCGCTCGAGCGCCGCGGGGACGCCGTGACGTTACTTAAGGCCGGCGTGACGTCGTTTGGAGCCGATGTAACGTCACTTGGGCCGTGTGACCGGTCAGCGGCACTGTGCACGGCCGGGGTCGGCTGGCAATGTCTGCTGGTCGGCTGAGGCTCGCGCTGACGTCAGCGGCACTGTGCACGGCCGGGGTCGGCTGGCATGTCTGCTGGTCGGCTGAGGCTCGTGCTGACGCCAGCGGACTCAGGGGCCCTGCTGCGCCGGTGGCGGCTGTGCGGTTCGAGGGGGGGGGGGGGGGGGGGAGGGAGCTGGCGTCTCTAGCTGCTGCTGTCCGGTCGGCGGGACGGTCGGCGCCGGGGACACAGAGAGAGAGAGAGTCCCACCTCGGCTGTAATGAGCGCGGAACGGCCGTGGCCGCCGCGGCGACACAAAGTCAAGATCTGACGCGATCGCGGAGCGCGCGCTCCGCGTTTGCACCTGTACAGTAAGCGACGGCTCCCACTGGTCTGTTGATACGACTTTTTAGAGCACGACTGCGAGTGTCGTCTCCAGCAATACTCAGTGAGCGTGTGTACATTTGCGCACATGTGCTTCTGTGGAGCACTGTGTGCCGGCCAGTATTGCCAATACACGTTTGAGTGTTTGTACATATTCGAATGTGTCCGTGTCGTGGTTTGTGTGAACCTCACCTTACGTGCTGGTGCCGATGATGAATACAGAGTGCAGTTTGCTTTGTGCGTTTGTTTTTGTAACTAGACTGGGAGTGAGGGGTACTGAAAGTACCGACGTATTGGTTGCTGCCTAATTGCTTATGACTGGATTACAAGCCTCTAACGAAGTTGATCGCCTGCTCGTTAGCACGAGTGTCGATTTGTACCCTTTGAGTGAGCCCCCCCCCCCCCCGCCCAAGGTCCAGTTTGCCCCCATGGGTGGATTTGGCCCCCAACAGTCTGGAGCTGAGATATGGAAATGAAGAGCGTTCAAAGAAAAAATCAAACTTATGCAAACTTCAAGAACTCATAACGTAATTGCCTCATAGACAAAGGAACAAAGTGCAAAATGCAATGCAATGTCTGGCTGAGCGGGGACTGACGGAGTGTCAAGTATTCAGAACTTGGCGTTCGTACCAGGCTCGCTTGATCATTTTCTGTTTTTTTCTGCATTCTGCGTGTTTTAATTACGCAATTCATATCTCGTTAACTGTGGTCTACCTTCGTGTCATGCGCTGAATGTTTTGGTATTACGCAGCGATGTTTCAGGACTGCAGCAAGCCGCGTTCGCCGCAATATGCTGCCTGATTCTGGCACGGCGTGCTATCGAAGGATTGAACAAACCGGTCGAGTATTAGCACCGAAAAACTTGACGAATTTGCCAGTCTCTACGTTCGGAGGAGCCCTCGAAGTGTGCTGACCTCCGCTTCGACTCAAATATTTAATGAAACCGTTACGAAAACCTGTCGGTCGAAAACACGCGACCAAACCGACAGCGGTAATCGTCCGTCCAACACCAGCAAAACAGCGCTGGGCAGCTCGAGCGTGCCTATCGCGAGTGGAGCCTGAGGCCCGCCCTGCGGCTGCCCGCCGGCGGTCCCGTGGCACCCCTCAATAGTCGCGCACAATAACTAACATCTTCGTTCTCGAAACCATGCACGCCCAGCGTCTAAAGCTGCATACCATCGATCCTGCGTCGATTGCTGAAACCTGGTTTCGACCAAATAATGATGCCCAGTAACGTCTTCCGCCGATATACACCCAGGAAACGTATTGGAGCAGAAGTGCGCTGTCTTATTCAGCTGTGGTAGACTAGCCCACTAACGTTGATGGGTAAATTGGGTTGTATCCGGTTAGAAGCCTGTTTTATGGTATTTTAAGGGCAAGTTACAAGCCCTTTCTTCCCGTTCAGCGCCATAAACCCACGTTGAGGGTTTAAACCCCGGTGTTGGGAGGTTTTTGGCGATCGCACACGACGTATTCGCCACCACGTCATCTCATCGTCCAGGCCACGTCACCGCTCTAAAGTGGAGAGCGCCTGAGTCAAGAGGCAGGTAAGTCAAAATCACCGTAAGATGATCGGCAACTTAAACCAACCAGCGTGACGACACCGCGATTTTCAAGGATTTCACCCGTATTGAAGCCCATTTGAGAAACTGAGTCGTTTTCTTACACTGCCCATTGTACAAATACAACGTGGCGAATAGCAGAAATTGATATCTACAGAGCCTGTAACTTGACTTGTTCTCTAAAAATGCTGGCTGCGATTTATGGGCTGGAAACATTTACACTAAATCAAATTTGGATGCCTTGTTCAAGGCGTCGAAACACCAGCATGTCGTTAAGACAGAGGCGACAAGCAGAGTATCTCGGAAACTTGATAACGGGTTTGTCCCAGCCAAAGGGAAGAGTGTCATAAGTGTTAGAAAGAGTGAATCGAAATGAGGTCAAAACTTGAAAAAACAACCTATGTTTGCTTAAGGACGTCAGTCCTTTTGCAGGATCGACCAGGGAAACATATGCCACGAAAAGTTTAGAGCCTGCGCGCTGGCAATCTCAGGAGGGAAGAACACGGATCGGCCGAGGTTGAAGTCTCCACCAAGCAGAGCGGCGTCGGCCGCTGCAGGTAACACCAGGCGTCTGGCGCCGGCAGGCGAGGGCGACCCTCGTGAAAGAATCCTTCCGAAAGCCTTTCAAAGTCAATTCGCATCGTTGAAAGATTACCTTGACCGTATGTTTCGCCTTGATAACTCTGAGTCTGCTCCCTTAACATATAAACATTTTAAGTAAAGTAACACGAAAAGTAGAGGTTCTGCCCTTGCCCTTCCAGTTCCGGAGACAGCAACCTAAACCCGGAGACTGCAGCGTCGGATATCACGGTTTTGAGACGTGCGAGCGCACATACTCATAACTATCAAGTCTGAATGACGGTTCTAAATTGCCTGAAGTCCTCTTCCATTCTGAATGACAGCTCTACATTGTCTGAAATCATGCCGATTTCTTAACAATTCTTGACCTAAAATCTTATTCCAATTTTTAATGACGGTTGAAAACTCCCGATTGAATGTCGTTTGCCAACGTCAGTACGCAATTTTGATCCCATTTCGATCTACAATCTACGTTCACTGAGTCCACAACTGCCTTTCGCCTGTAAAACCTCTTCATATGTGGTGAAGCGCCTGATTGCTATCCGCCCAGAAAGAGATCACTGACGAATTGTTAAATTAATGGTGTTGGTGGTTTATTCCGTGAAGTCGTTTACGTTGATGTATTTTTTGTGTGAAAACCTGTCATAGACATCGCAACTTCATAGAATTGTGCAGAACTGCACAGGGACTCCAGTTGTACTTACATCACCTTCATCTGATTTCAAAGAGCCTTATTTATCAGTCGCTGCAATCACTTGTGCAACCGAATGTGTTCCTACTGCATCACTGTTGCACGCGCAGTGGGCGCTGCGCGGAGGCTGCGTTTGAAAGTATTCTTCCGGCCAGTGATAGCGAGCCCGATCTAGAAGAACCTTGAGCGAACCTTCGAACCGAGGATCATCGTCAGTGCCGCCCGGACTCCGGAGGTAGTTAGCCTGGCTGAGCGTGAGTGACGTCATTGAGCACCGAATATGCGTACAGACGTGCAATCGCGTGGTCACAGAAGAATCAGCCCAAGTAGTTGCGAGCGATTGCGCATGACATTGGCATGACGGGCGTCTCCTTTGCCACGTGTCCGAATCGAATGGGGAGAGGGTCGCCTTCTGTTCAGAGGCACGGCAGCTTGTGTGTACCTCAGGAGGACAATAGGCTCGCGATGCGTTTTATTAATACGCGCGGAGAAAAGGCATTTCCATCAGTAGGACAGCTAACTAAACGTGTTTGAGGCAAGGTTAAGTATTTTTGTATTATATTGGTGCATGGAGTAGTACATATGCCTGGTTTTACATTAACTGAAATGCATCTGCTGTGCCGATTAAATTTTGGTTTGTTGAGGAACGTATGTGTGTGTGTGTGTGTGAACGGCTTGCGAGTAGCCAAATATTTAATAGATTACCTAACCACATAAACACATAATATTTACAGACTTTACTTCTCAGTATGCAGGAAAGGGATACAACTGTACCCGTTCTGTTTCACAAAGTGTTGTGTTCATAAAAAGCTGATTGCAAACTTCAATGTTTCCATATGCGTTTGTCGTCGATAAACGTACTATCTTTAACCACATGTAACATATATACATATATACATACATCATTAACATCTATACAGAGAGAGAGAGGGAGAGAGCCGCTGCGCAGCGCTTATCGGCCGCCATCGCGCATCTTGTCCCGCCATGTCTCGTGAAGGTGCAGCCGGTGCTGTGACGAATCCCCAAGCTACCGCCGCCGCCTCGCTTGAAGGTGCCGGACGTCTGCCGTGTAGCCCGCCGCGGTCCACCTCATCACCGAGCGGAGGTCCAGCACCGCCCAGGAGCTGGAGAGTGACGGTAAGACTGACATTCGAAATGCACTGCCCCACAGGACATCGGGCGCGTTAATAAACAAGTGCATGTTGTAATAAAGAAATGCATAAATTGGAATACATTTGTATGAAACTCATCAGGTTGATGTTTATTGCAACGTTGGATTTTCATCGCAGTCCTTCCTTCAGACACCCGGTTGAAATGACGAGGCATCATTTTCAGACTTAAAATATTGAATGAAGTGGAAAATTGAAAATGAATGAAAAAAAACCCAAGAAAAATTATTAATGAAAAAATGAATTCAATGCTTCACAAATGTTGCATTACTGGAACAATTGGGGTTTGGATGTGAGAACCAAACAGGCGCGAAGGCCCGTTAAAGGTGGTCAACATTCACCGCACATTCTTCAGTATTTTACTAAATTTGTTCACAATTCTCAAGCCTTACATCATCGCAAACTTTTTCCGGCCGAACAGATACAGCTGGGGCAGGAACAGGCAATGCGTCCACGGTTGAGGCAGAGTCAGTGTGTGCTGTTTTGACATTGCCGGGCCGGCGCTCTGCCCAAACTCTCTTCTATAGATTCTCACAGGTTTGCTTCCATTCCGCTA